TGTAGCTGCTGTTAACGCATTGTGGGGTGTTTTCCGACTTAGTCTGGTTCGCACTTTCGGCATTTTCCTTTTTAGCAAGTTCACACCTATTCGTATAGGTACAGTTACTCACAAAAATAAGTATACACCTTTTTTATAGTTTTTTTTTTATTAGATCTTGATACATTTTCTTATAGGAAGGTAGTTAAATAAATTTTCTGAAGCCGAAATTGGTGAGAGCTTTCCAAAAAGGGGTGTATACTTTTTTTGCGAGTGACTGTAGATAAATTTTCTCTGATTTTAATTCTTTTTTAAATGTACACAACTATTACTCAATTATAAACTTTCACTGTTTTCAACTGTTTCACAATTAGTCGCACAGGTAGATATATAAATTTTCACTGATTAAAAATGTTTTTTAATGTACACAACTATTCGTAAATTATATATTCACTGTTTTCAACTGTTTCACAGTTATTCGCAGAGGTATATAAATTTTCACTGATTTTAATTCTTTTTTAACATGTACTCACGCAGTAAGAAACAAATACGCTACTAACTTTCAAACAAAAATAAATTCATATTCTATTTTAAAAACAGCTAATAGCGTGGCATGACCATCTTCATAAAATTTAAAACCTGAGATTCAAAAAAATTGCAACAGTAATCGACGCTGTTAGCAACCTGTTAGTGATGACATGTATGCAAATACTTTTCTGTTATCTTAACAGCTCGATAGATTACGCACTGTTACATTTGATTACATGTAAGCAACCTGTTAATGATTGCATGCACGGTGGAGAGAATACAGAGGTGGCGCCGATGACGATACCGCTACTCGGCTCTCAGTGATTTTGACAGAATCAGCTGTTTTGGTGACGTCATAGTAGAGAAGACAGCAGTAGTGATGTGCTGAGTCAATACTTTTAAGTACCCAATACTCTCTTTACTCGGTACCGAAACATTTAGGTTTCGAATAAAAGCGCACATAGGCCAAAAATATGGAAAAAACGCCTAACAAAACCCGAATGTAAGAGCCAATAGAACTTTTTTACTGATTCAAATGAAAGATGTATATATGTCGGTTCGATGCCATAATACAGAGAAACCCTTACTTGTTTGAAGCATTTTTATTCCAGCTGAATCGGACGATATCATTTTTGTAGGCCTGGGACAGATTCTGTAACCAGTTAACGACAATTTTCGAATCGGTATCGGTTTTGTCGACGTTTGATATCAAATATGTGTAAGTCAACAAGTGCGATATCGATCCGAAACTTGTCGCTAACTGACTACAGAATCTCTCCCCTGAAAGGCTTCTTCATCGGTCAAAGTATTTTTCTTGAACCTTGGATCGACTGAGGTTAAAACTGATAAAATAATATTTTTCTGTGGCGATAAGTTCAAGTGTTTTAGCCGATATTATATAAATTAGTAATGAAAGTTTTTTCTAAACCTGAAATGCATATAATGGCGTGGGTTTAATGTAAATAATCGGTATCGGATACCGAAAAGGAAGTATAGGGTACCGAAATCTTTTTTAAGTATTGGGTACCGAGTTATGGGGACAATTCAGCACATCACTAGTCGCCCTCATTCTCGCCGCTCTCAGTTGTCAACTCAACGA